AAAAAAAACTGACGTTTGTTTCGATGGCAAATTAGTACCGGAGTGCCCAAGATAGCAAGAAATCTAACGGTCTCAAAGTTACTTCTCAAGCGATCTTCGAAAGATCCAGCAGTATAATGGATAACATGTCGCGATTAGAAGGCATTCAGGGAGTAACCTGAATGATGTATGTATCAGCTGTAAAACTTTGGCCTAAAAATGTAGCTGACAGCTTTTCCATTTGCTTTGGGCATACTGCACCGCCTGGAGGTTACTTGGTGGTGAGCTTGCAAGCGATACTGTATGTTTCTGAATTCATTCATCAGTAAATACAACTAAGAGTTCAGATAAACGAAATTACAGGTGTGCATAGCTGCAGGAGAATCACCAGTGGGGCATTGTTGCCCGAAAGTTTGTCCATTAGCAACACAACCCGATCACACATATTCATGCGATCCAAACGCGACGCTTCGCTGTCCAACCGATACACATTTCTGCCATCGTCTTTCAGGTACGTTTACTTCAGCTGTTATCGTTGTGTCGTTTCCCACCATTGTTAAATTCGCAAGATCGCCATTTTCCTCAGTTTCCTCATTTTCGCTCAAAAATTTTTATTTTTCAACAACGCTATTGATAAAACACTGCAGTAATTTTCACGTGTATTGCGCGAGTTACGTATTTTTGGGTACATTTAGATGGTGGATTTTCACAGTCATTATGCTGTCGACGACCATGTAATGCAATGGCGCCGAGTGCACTTTACGTAAATGGTATTTGCATGGCTCGTGGACAACTTAATTCTCAGTGCACAACTAATGAGCAATGTGGCGGTGGTGAAAGTATGGTTTGTAACAGGGTAAGCAGTAGCATTCATTCATTATGCGTTTTTGCATATAGGTAAATGCGAAAACGCATATTGCGACGACTCTGTAGGTGTATGTGTATGAGTGTGTGTGTGTGTATGTGCGCGTGTGCGTGTGTGTGCGTTGTCCAGGTATTACAAATCGACACCCAAGCAAGCTCCAGCGCCGAAATTTTGCGAATGGATTCCCGGGCCAAGTGCCAGGACAGTGGCACCAACCCTTATGCACGTCTAGGCCTTGCGTATGAGCGCATGAAAATTTTGGTGGGAAAATTGCTAACTCTGGAACTAGAAAGGGTAGAAGGCTGAAATTTTGAGATTTTGTTCCTTGTCCATAGAGAACTCAAAGATCTTAAATTCAGTCCGGTGGTATGCGAGGCCCCCGCGTACGGCCCGGTGAGGGTTCCTAGCGGGAAAATCGCTAACTTCGGATCTAGGTTAGCTGGGAGACTGAAATTTTAAGGGGATGTTCCCAGCTCATCTGCAACTTAAATTTATCGAAAACTCATCTGCAACCAGGGCATGCGTGATTGTAACATACGGCCCCGTGAAAATTTCTGGCGGAAAAATGGCTAACTCCGGACGCAGAGAAGCTGGAGGACTGAAATTTCCAGAAAATGTTCCCAACTCATGTACAACTTGGATCTATCAAATACAGCCCCCGGACATGCGGGATTCTCATGTACAGCCCCGTGGGTAGCTCGGGAACTAGGAAAGCTGGGAGCCTGAGATTTTAAGGGAATGTTCCCAGCCCACGTACAACGTGAATTTGTCAAAATTCAGTCCCCCGTCGTGCGCGGTTCTCACGTATGCCTTGTGAAAATTTTTGGCTGGAAATGGTTAACTTCGGACCCAAGGAAGCTGGGAAGCTGAAATTAATAGAAATTGTTCCCTCTCCAAGTACAGCGTAGGCAATTAAATTCCCAAATTTCGAGAATCAGCATGTCAAGTATTTCTAGCTACTGGGTTTCCGAGCGATCTTATTACAGCACGAAACATGCAAAAACGTATGATTGCACGGGCTCGCCCGGTGATCATTTTTAAGGGAACCATGCTTTCACAGGCCCTAATGGATTGAAACATCTTATCCCACCTTCTTCTTAGCTCTTAACTCCTTGAGCCCTCATGCCTTCACTTTTTTGAAGTAATTAACTCACTGTCACAAAAATTCCCGAGTACGTGTAAAGTTCTTATAGACATCAACTATTCGTGAGTGGTATTCATTGAGAAAGTAAAAAACTGAGCGACACCATCCCGAAGATATGATAAACATATATAAAACATGCAGCTGCTGCTAACAGGAAATATTCAGATCAGTTTCGAAGGGCCTTGTTGTAGCTGCGCTCGGCACTGTGACAACATTCCAGCAATAGCATTGTGGCAGCATCGTTTTTCTGTTGTTAGGCATCTTCCCTTCTTTTTACTTCTTTTTTCTTAGAAGCACTGTATCCGTCACACTGACGAGGTCCTGTTGCAGTGCTGTGTTAAGACTGTATGAATTAAAGGACCGAAATGTCTTACTTCACTCTCTCTTCTGTTCCCTCTTAATTGCCCCTCTTCCCTAGCTAGCCTCTGCCTTTTAAAACATTCAGGCCTAACCTGGCTGCTACGAACTAATCACACAGGATCCTAACAATGACTGTCCAGATGATCTTGATGCTCTTGGTATTTTTATGCGTTTTTTGCAGCTGCGCAATGCAGAAAACGCATATTGACGAGAGGTAGTCTGTGTACGTGTGTTTCTGTGTGTGTGTTTGTCTGTGTGTATCGATTTTTCATCTCAGAACCCACAAAAGCTACGGGGCTAAAACTTGGATAATCTAATCTGCATGCGTGTACGGACGCCATCCCGAAATGGACGCTCTCACTCGCGTGGCACCCACGCATGGGTCCGTAAAATTTTTTCGCAGGTAAGTCGCTAACTCGGGAGTCAGAAAAGCTAAGAAGCTGAAATTTTACGGGAACGTTCCGTGTCCACGTAAGTCTCAACGAGCTCAAATCCAGACATCGGGTATGCGTGGTACCACGTACGGGCTTGTGAAAGTTTTTTTCAAGTAAGTTGCTAACTCAGAAGTCAGGAAAGCTAGAAAGCTGAAATTTCAAGGGGGTCTTTCCTGTCAGTTTTGGCGGCCAGTCTTAATTTGTTTAGCTAGAAACATTTGCCGAAAAAACCGATGCCGGTAGTTACAAAAACTATGGGGAACTATGCAAAAAAATGCATCTTCGCACGTCAGCCCGTGCGTTGGCCAGTTATTTAACACTGCATTTAATCTGATTTCAAGGGGCAATGTGAATGCTTAGTGGGATTTCATCCACTCGTTGATCCAGTGACACATCCATTACGCAATCCAAGTCAAACATGTACACGAGATTGTGAATCAGAAACACTATCCAGAGATACAACTTGCATGAAGCCAGTACCGCTTGAAGCGCACTGCTTCATTCAGCGACAGTGTCCAGTGAATTCTGGATGCTACAGGTTCGGTAGTTATCGTTAATGAATTCGTTTTTAAATTCACCAAAGATTCCTATGCTTTGGATTTCTAAGCTTCTTTTGTTCTCGTATTTTATGATACATCGAACAAGCAATAGATACTAATTATGGGTGTGCAACCCAGGATCAAACGGTGTGTTACAGCTACACCTGTCGTACGGCACATTTTAGTAGCATCTCTAACAGGGGATACTCAAACTGACTGCCCAAGCAGTAGCCGTATTTTTTTTTATGATGTTTTTTTAAAGATTATAAATGAGTTTTTCGATAGAATAGTAGCTATGAACATATGTTTGTAGCGAAGTGGTTATTTTCTTAACGGTCAAACAGTGAAGCTGAAACTTTACAAGTATTAGTGTAACAGTTCATGATTTTTTCCTGAATTATTCTTTAAATTCAAAAAATTTTATATTCAGGGGTCGTTGTCAATGTAAATGCGGTTTCAAACAAGACAGACAGCGATGTGTTGCTCTACCACCACCTCCAACAACAACAAGGCAACCTGCAGGTATCACAGTTCAAATGCTACCAGTATGTGGAGAGTAAAAGTTTCCGCAAATCTCGACTTACCAAGGCAGTTTGCAGCCACCACACCAAATTTTATTCCTGAGAACAGAACAAGTCTGATACTTTATAAAAACAAAAATAATATCGAGTAACTGCAAATATACATCATTATATTACGTTTGCTTTCTGATGATGAACGAACATTAGCATCATCAGCAGGTTGAACACAGTGAGTCAGACTAAATGGGGAACTTGCCAACTGCATAATGGAAATCTACGCCATGAATTGTGAATATTTCAGGCAGTATAATCCCGAAAACTTCCTTACTAAATTTCCTGTTGCTTCCTTCCGTTGTCTTCTTTTTTTTTCCTTTTTCATGAAAACTGCAATTGTCATACTGATAATGTCCTGTCGCAGTGTTAAGGCATATATGTCTTACTGGACCGGAACGTCTTATCTCATTCTTATCTCCTTCTCTCATGCTGCAATCACTCGCGCCTTCGCCATTTAAGGCACACAAGATCAAACTGGCTACTATAGTCTGCTTATTTTCGAATACTCTGATCAACTATCAATTGTTGTACAGTTACTCTATTCAAAATTGCATTACCAGATCCTAGTATCCGTTCTTTTTCCAGGACTTTCTGGAGATAAGAAATGTTAGATGTCTTCCAAAATGTCGTTACGATCTTTCCTGATTGTAAATTTCAGTAATTGTGCCTGGAATTGGTGTTGCTCAAGGCGGTGATTTCCTGCGACTCATTGGAAATTTCTTCAGTGGTACCAACACAATGGGTGGCACAGGCAGATAACATCGAGCAGTTCGATGCTATAGCTGTACAATTGAAAGCAAATACGGTTATATCTTTTTGTACACTTTTGTTAAATGATAAAATTTTTAACATATCTGGAACACGACAGATGCCACATCCTAGAACTGTGTTGAATGTGAACCTAAAATTTTTGGGGACGACAAGGAATTTCGTTCAACACTAAAAAATCTGAATTTTCAACAAATATGAGTAGATCTTAAGAAAACTGGTACTTAATAGTGAGGGTCATGGGACATGCTCCACTTAAAACACGGGGTGTAGTCCACTTACTTGTAATTGAACACTTGAAACGGCTATTAGTTTACAGTGACACACACCCGGAATGTTCTCCAATGGTGTAATCAACAACCATGCCATCCACTTCCATAGGCGGATCCAACGAAAAAGGAGGGGGCGATGAGCCTTTCACCCCCTTTAGTGGTCCAGACACCAGTGCTGCAAAAGTCCAGGCCTATAGCTAAAACTAAACTAAAGCCTAAAGTAACTCTAAGTAGTAGTGTTATAACTCTACTCCTAGTTATGCGTTTTTTGCAGCAATGCAATGCGAAAAACGCATATTGACGAGAGGTTGTCTGTGT